GGCCGAGCTATTATCTGCCTCTGCTTGTCCTTGTCTCCTCTGCTATGCCAAGCCTTCTAGCTCCGCTGCTCACTTGCTTCTCTCCAATGAAGTTTCTCTGTTCTTGCCCGTGAAGCCGAGCATTGTTGCTGCATCACCAAGCCCTTTTCTAATTCGCCGACCGGACCACGTGCTCGAATGAGCTCGCTCAGGTCTTCTCGCCTTTTTTTCTCTACGCCGCTCTCCTCTGCCCTCTCTGCCACTATTTTTGCTTGCTCTTCCGAGCCGCGTGCTGCTTTTTCCCCTCCCTCTCCTTTCCTGCTATGTCGAGGAGGAGCGCCGTCGCCGGGCCATCGCCGCTGCACCTCCTTTTCGCCCGTCGTTCCCTTCCCTTCGCATGTGCGCGTGTGCTCCACTGCACTGCCCTTCCGAGCACCTCCTCCATAGTCCACGCGCCTCGACCATGCTGGCGTGCCGCCGCGTCGCGTGTCCTGTCTGGCCGCGTCCGCAGTAGCTACTCTAGGCGGCCTCCTATGGCACATGCGGCTACTCCCGTGCTGGCCCTCCCCGCGCGTGAGCCCCCAGTCCGCTCTGGACCACTGCCCCTCCCGTGCGCCCATGCCCGCAGTTGCGGGTGCCCCCCTCCTCTTCCTCCCCTGCGCTTAGTACCCTAGCGTCCGCTCCCTTGCCCCGGCACGCCGCACCACCGCGTGGCCACCGTGGCCGCGCCATCCGTTGTCCTCCCTGGCCTGGTCTCTTATGAGCGCATGCGCACCCCATGGCCTCATGCTGGTCTGTAGCTCCCTTGGCGCTGCCCGTCCGTGCCAGTATGGCTTTGTCGTGCGTGGCTCCGCCTCGCCTCCTCTCCTTTGTGCCGCAGCGCCGTTGCCGCGCCTCCTCACCGACATCTCCGTGGCCTTCGCCCGTACACGCCCGGGTTCCGCACCGCGTCTCTGTCGTGGTTCGCACCCCACGCCCGCGCCGGTGCCGGTGCTGTGCCACTGTGCTGCCGCTCCCTGCTGCGGTGCCACCCCATGTCGGCGTCACCCATCCCCCATGGCACCGCCCTGCCCCACCGCGCCTCCTCACGGTCGGTCCTCCGCCACTGCCTTGCCTTCTCCGGCCAGGATTGACCGCTAGCCGATGCTCCTCTACTCCGTGTGCTGAGTGGACGAAGAAAGCTAAGAGTAGAAAATGATTTTTGGATCGGAATGCAAAACTTGTGACTGAAATGAATAGCGTCAACAGTCGTAATGCGAATTAGTAAGGCAATGAGGTCTCTCTTGCAAAAATCGACATCCCGCACTGGGCCTCCCCTCTTGGGCCGGCCTGCTAGATGGCTGGGCCTTGCGTCCTACTCGGCCATGGGCCTCTGTCCGTGCCTGGGCCACGCGCGCTGTGCGCTGGGCCGCACGCCCGCGTGGGGCGGCCTGCTCTGGCTGCGCTCTGCCGGTTGGCTGCGTGGGCTGGCCTCCGAGCCCATCGGATTGGGCCGACTTGGGCCAAAATGGATGGCTAAGCCTTTTTTCCTTTTATCACTGTTATTAATCCCTTTAAATGGCCGAAACTTGTAAAATTCGTAGTAAATCATAGAAAAATCATAAGAATGCCAAACTAGTTTTGTTGAGTTTCTAAAATCATGATCTATCTGATAGGGTGTTTTGTTTGCATAGGTTCCATATGTTTTTAGGGTTGCTCTAATTATTTTAAAGTGTTAAATATTGTTAAAAAGTGAACTTGTAGGAATTTCCGTGAGAAATCGGTGATAGTGTTGACTCTAAAAATTTTACAGTAAATTATTAATATTGTTAGATGCTCACTGTAATTTTTGTAGCTCCTGAATAATTAGTTTGCTAGATAGATAATGATGCCCTATTTTGAATAATGATTAAATCGGTAGAATGAAATAAAAAAATAACTTGGGTTTATATAACTAAAATATTTGTTGGGAAGTAACGCCTTATTCGACAACATGGATATGTAGCCTAAGTACGGTCGTCATTAGAACTAGCTCGTTAACTTGAGAGACGTAAATCGTATTTTATGAGTCACGGTTGCAGTCGATTAATTATGTCTTTGCATTGCATCGCATTGCATATCATAATAGGAACGACGGTGGATCGATGGTATCAACTGGAGTAGCTGAAAAGATGGTGCCAAGGATCGTGCCGCCAAGATGGAATGCTAACTTTTGGTTATCTTTTACCCAGGCAAGTCCCGGTGCATAACTCCTACTTTTCTGCACTTTAAATTATATTTGTGCATTAAGTTTTAAGGAGTTGAATGAAACCCACTTGCATATACATATCTTTATCCTATGAGTCTTACTAGAATGACAGGATCGTGTAGATTGCTATGCTACAAGACTCCGGTAGAAGTTGAGTGATTGCCTGTCACTCGTGAGAGATAGAAAATATATCACTGTATTATTATCACTTGGAAAATATAAATGGTGGAAAGGAAAAATGGTGACCGGGCAGGGATATGATTTGGGTATTGGTAGGTGTAAGAGGTTGTGTCCTGCGGCCAATAGGGCATAGCTTGGTTACACTGTTTTCCCTGTCCGTGTTGGTTAAGGATCGGCCGTTGCATAAGACTCTAGGTAAGTCACAGACTTATTATCCCGAGCACATACTTGGTTATGGACGCTTGGAAGACTTGTTACTCTCTTGTCATGGGTTCTGGCTCTGTCCAGACCGACTGTCAGGGTGGTTTTTGGGTTATGAGGTCCTTGCACCGCACTGAGTCCGGGACTCAGAGGCGGGCCTTGGAGTCACAGTTTGGATGGGGACCTGGACCCCATGACAGAAGGGTAGTGGGTTGGTCCTGCTTGTGTCTTGGGTACAAGCGGGGCGTATGTTTTCGGGGTACCTAGCTGGGGGCATTGATTCGCGGATCGCCGAGAAATTCAGTACAGCTTGTCTATGGCCTAGCACCGTAGTAAGAACTGAAAGATGAAAGATGAAAGATGAAAAAAAAATCTGATTCCTTACCACCTGCTTGAAAGAAGCACATGAGCTTACATAGAATGGTTAGTTAATGAACTAATGCACTGCTAATAAAAATCGAATATAAGGACGCACGCTTAGTAATGCTTCCTACAAATGCAATAAACCCACAAACCGGATAGCCTTGCATATCATTGGAGTCTTTTCTTTTCTCTTATCGGGTAAGTCTTGCTGAGTATAATTGAGTACTCAGGGTTTTATCTCCCCCTGTTGCAGGTGACAGGTGGATGCTAGAGCTGACCCTTGTGTGTGGATTCTTCCTGGTGGGCTCAACGATGATTCTTTTACGCTGCGATCGTAGTTTTTATTTATAACTCTCACTAAATGTTTGTATAAATGAAAGTTTTTATAATCTATTGTCATAGTTTATATATCAATGCTTCATTATGCCATGGATAGATATTTATTTAGTTCCGCTATAATTTTGTTCATATGTTTATATTCCGCTGTTCAATTAAATTATCCATAACTCTGATAATATGATTATATTTCGCTGTTATGACAATAAATATTATAATCTGATGTCGTAATAAAAGTGATGTAAGAAATGGTTAATAATGATGTAAGCTTTATTCTTTCATTTGTGATCCTGATGGAAAAATATGGATTTTTAGGTTCTCCCTTGGGGTGTGCCCGACAAAACTGCGTAATTTGGTATTCTCCCTTAAGTACTTAGTGTCTAATAAAAGACAAGTACTCGTGTGAGGCATTAGATTAGGCGGTTCTGCCACACCATCCAATTGCTAAAAAATGACTCATTAAAAGCTAATCGCAGTTAAATCTGTGTCAGCCTTTTGAGTCTCATGAACCCCATGTTATATTTATTGAGTACGACATGTACTTATGCTTGTTTTACTTTTTAAATCTTTGATAAAATCCTGGATAGGTACCAGATTGCTAGTGTTTGGAGGAATTAGGTTTGTGATCAATCAGTCAGTTGTCCCTATGGAATTGGAGTCTTCTCCCAAAGATCGAAGTTCTCTTTTCGCTGTTTGTTATCTAAGGTTACATCTTTTATACTAAGTACATTATATATTGAGCATTGTCTTTTAATATTACCCTTATTTATAGCTATATGTGAAATTTGACTTTCTGAACTCAGATATGGTGCGTATCTAGTTATGTTCTTAAAACCGGATGCTACATCTCCACACTTACGCCAACCCGAGGCGACGAGTGAGGCGTGAATGGAGCATTGCGGCCATGCCGTGGACATCCTTCCTCTCCGTGTTCCTTCAAATGGAGAGACGGAGGAGATTTACGAGATGGAACCGAAAAAGATATTTATGTGGTGGGTAAAATACGTGAACGCTATAAGACCACGTAGCGTCCGACGTCCAGACGTGGGACTGACGCCCGCAGCGTTATCAAATCCATATTGATGGATCGATCGCATCAGGGTCCATGGTAATTGTTCTCATTTCAATCACGCAAAGTCTAGGAGGCATGAATATATATAAAATAATAATAATTGTTCTGGTTGCTTTAGGCACAAAAAGAAAAATAATATGTTTGGAAACATAAACCAAGCTACCTTCTAATAATAATTTTATATAAAAGATAAAGAAGGAACCCCTAGCCCTTATAGTCCTTATAAAAAGGTAGTGCACTAGGAAGAAATTTTAGTTGATCTACCTAGTTTTGTAGGGAAGAAAAAAGGGTGAAAGGTGTTTGAGATTTGAGAGGCCTTTTGTTTTCCTATATTCAATGGCGGGAGCAAGATTGGCAGCTAGGCCGGCCACACCCACACACGCCACAGCACACCAGCTCCCTCGCGCCGCCGCCTTCGCTGCCGCAGGCCGCCGCGGTGGCGATTCCCCTTTCCTGCCGCGAGCGCGAGGTACGGCATTCCGCCCGCCCTTGTTAGCCTCCGTCTTCGGGTGCCTCTTGGTTCGCCGGGTTCTTTGGTCCGGTGATTCCTGGGCCTGCTGTGGAGGTGTGGTTACGAGCTGATGGCGTCGGTGGTGATGTTCCGTTCGACCCGTTCCTGCAAGAACTATTGGTTTCGGGGAAATGGAATTGGATGTGGAGGAGGAAATATGGAAGTATTTGTGTCCACTGTCCAGTGAAATGCTGAGTAGAGAAAATGAGTATTTTCAGAAGGCAGAGTATCTGGTCTGGCCACCTCCATCCAGTCCATATTTTGGAAATTTCTTGTTTAGCTTGTCAAATTGATTGATAGGCGGTGTTACCATTTGTGTTTTTGGTAGCCCAGTAGAAACAATTGCTTTAATTATGTCATAAGTTGTTTTGTTTATGCTGTTCCTCCACTGCACGTCATGTTTCAACAGTGGCTTGTGCAATCAAAAGCAATGGCTGCAGCAAGGTTACAAGGGTGCTATTCTGTGGCCCCTATTTCCCTGCTTCCACGAGGTACACCACCGAGTATTTGCAGGACAATCCATTCATTGAGGTTTGGGAACCTCTTCCTCCCCTCTTCTTTTTAACACATCTGAACAACAGCAAGCTGATTGCCTGGAGTTTGAATGTGAAAGCCCCCCCCACTCCAATTCCATTTGCAGGTAGACGAAGTGGGCCTTGAGCAGGTACCTGATGTTATCCAAAACTATCATATATGTGCTGTGAAGAATCGACGCATAGATTCAGATATCATTGCCAAGGCAACCCAGATGAAGATTATTATGCAGTATGGTGTTGGGTTAGAAGGTGACTATAACTTTGGTACTATATTAATTAATACATATCAGAATTACTAAATTCTCTTATATTAAGTTCACGATTTCCATCAGGTGTTGATGTAAATGCTGCTACAGAACACAAAATCAAAGTTGCAAGAATACCTGGGAGTATGACAGGAAATGCAGTCTCTTGTGCAGAGATGGCAATCTATCTTACCCTTGGTGTTCTGCGGAAGCAAGTATGTTTCTATGGATAGCAGTTCTGAATTTTGACAAATTGGAAATTGGATTTGCTCTTCACATGTTTCATGTTTTCTGATGACTCTCTTCAATGAACCATCATGGCCTTTTTTCCACTATCTAGAGCATTTTAAATATTGTACCAAGTTACAACATCGAAACTAAGCAAATTATCAGGACTAATCCCATCATGTGCATTCAACAATAGTCCACGAATGATTATAGACGTACCTTAAGCAAGCAGGAATTTTTGTTCACTACTGCAGTCTCATTGATTTAACATATTTACTCAAAGTCCATACTATCCTACGGGAATAACAAAGACAAGTAGTTTTTCTACATGCTTTGGTTTTTGATCTCCACTTTTATGTTTTGATAGATAAACATGTATGCCTAGGGGAAACTTGGAAGTTTACAGTGTTCATCTGTTTTGTTATTTCTAGTTCGGAAGATACTATGAAATTTGTCAAAACTGAATACTTGAATGCATTTTCATGAAAGCAGCAAAAATTCTTGTGTAGAAGCTTGATAGGGCATTAATTTAGTTTCTGTCATAAGTGTTTTTAATAGAATAAAAACATTTAATTACTTGTTTTCGTTGTATTAATTAAGATTAGCTGCTTTCATATATAATGAACCACTCATGTTTTGGACTTTGGGCATTACTTTGCAGAAGTTGATGGATGCTGCTGTGCATCAGAAGGGCCTGGGAAGTCCAACAGGAAGAACAATATTAGGCAAAACAGTATGCTCTTGGGCCTTCATGTGGAAATTGCTTGTCTGATCTACTTTCCTTTGGGAATATCCCATCTGTGTAATTAATTGCATTAGTGATTACTGTCTAGGTCCTTATCCTAGGATTTGGGGCCATTGGTGTGGAAATTGCCAAGAGGCTAAAACCATTTGGTGTAAAAATTCTTGCTACTAAAAGAAATTGGTCATGAGGCTCATTGCCATGTGGTAAGCTGCTACTTATATCATGCCTATATGAAAATTCTTTACGTGCTCCTCCTGTCACTTCAAACATTCCTTGTGCAGATGTTGACGGGCTTGTAGATCAAAAAGGTGGACCAGAAGATATCTATGAACTTGCTGGAGAAGCTGACATAGTCATAACATGCTTGCTACAAACCAATGAAACAGTTAGTTCTTCTCTTGGTTTATTTCTTCTCCTCTTCTAGACAGACAGCCTTTATTCGGCTCTAGTTACAAAGTGTGGACATTTGTAGGTTGGAATTGTTGATGATATGTTCCTCTCAGCGATGAAAAGGGTATGTTCATTTCATTCTGACATACCGATATGCAGATGATAGATCAGATTTACTTGTTCATCATTTCTCAATCGCCTTCCAATAGTGACAAATTTTATTCACAAGCAGGTTCTGTTACGAAAAGTTTTGCTGTTATAGTAATACTGAATAATTAAATGTTAGTGGTGTTTTTACATATGTAGGGTTCGTGTCTGGTCAATATTGCTAGAGGAGGCCTTTTGGACTACAAGGCTGTCTTCAATCACCTTGAGTCAGGTCATTTAGGTGGTTTGGGTAATTGATGTTGCTTGGACAGAGCCATTTGATCCAGAGGACCCCATTCTGAAATTCTCAAATGTTATTATAACACCACATGTTGCTGGAGTCACCGAATACTCCTACCGAACTATGGCAAAGGTTTGTGCTTGTTTTCTGTATGGGCTGTGATTATTTTCATTAATCATGCACTTCTTGCTATCTGCTAATACAATAGTTATTTTGTAGTAAGTACTAAGTAATTGTTATATACCACATCTAAATAACATTACTGTGCAACTGCATTTGTTAAATTATTACTGTATTTATTAGATGATGTGTCACTAACGCCTTCAGATATTTGAATGTGGAAGCTCCAAGGGGCTTGTTACAAAGACAATGTTGTCTGTTTCTGTGGCCATTTCCATCTTGTAGTCAGTTTTTCTCGTCCTTATGGTGCAGGTTGTTGGTGATGTCGCTCTCCAGCATCATTCAGGGGAAACATTCACCGGAATAGAATTTGTGAATTAGATCAGATTGTGGCATGCGTTAGTGTTTATTCCCTGTTGAATTCAGACAGGTTACAATAATTGTTTGTGTGATGAGCATTTTGCCATGTCCAAAGGAATAGTGAATCGGCAATGGCTGTAGGAATTGTTGCTGTCCCCAGATTGACAGCCTGTTCGGTTGGCTGGCGCTGGTCGTTGCTGGATCGTGAAGAAGTACTGCTGGCTGGTTTGGTGTGAGAGAAGAATACTGTTCCGGCTGGAAATTTACGATCGTATACGATAAGCAGCAGCCAACCGAACAGGCCGTGAATTTGAATGAAGCATGATTATTACACATTTGCAGCAGGCCTATCTACATGATCTGCGCAGAACAAAAGACTACTAGTGTTTGTATTTGATTAAATTCGTATCAAATATTGATGGGAAGCTAGTAAAACAGCTTCTCATAAGGGCAGCTGAAGGCCATTCCATTACTGTATTGAAGCTTGGATGGATGGTGTTGCTAGCCTTTTGAAATGTGGCCTCCTATGCCAATGGGCCCAACCAGCTTTAGATGGATGGAGGCTCTGCCAGGTGGGCTCGTGCAGTCAACAGGCGGAATTTATGTTGGGCTGAGATGAGGCCCAGGTCTAGCCATCTATTACAAATCAATGGTCATAGACTTTGCTAAAAAAAATAAAATAATCAATGGTCATAGACTCATAGCCTTGTGATGCCCCGCACATTCGAATATTCAAATTTCCGAAGACAGTTATGGGATCGAGACACTGAGAGATTCTGGAAAAGGGGTTTATTTTCCCCTCCAAATAAAAGACGATTGAACTTCACAAATTAAAGGCTCTAATGTGCATTTTGACTGTTTGTCAACTAAATTATGTGGGCAAATTTAATTATTGTTATTGCATTTTAATGTTCTCTCTTACTGTACATTTCTTTTTTTAACTATATGTTTAAAGGTCATGGTATTTTTTTTTGGATAACTAAGGTCATGGTATTTAATGGGATCATATAAGAAAAAGAACATGATTTTTTTTTAAATCTCACCATGTAGACACTCATATAAACACATGTACACATATATAATTAAACATACACGGACACTCTACCTATATGATCACATCTACGAGACCAAGCTAGTAGATCTCAAAATTGAAGAAGTCACCATGGGCTCCTCGCCAATGATGAAAACGACACCTACCAAAAAAATAGCATTGTTAAATCGTGAAATAAATCGAGAGAAATACAACCAACCTTGCCGAGTCGAAGATTTTAGCCAGGTAGAAAGGATCCATCACAAGAAATCTAACCAATTGAGCTAAGCTCGTATTGCCACAATGCTTTTATTTGTTAGCTGCTTTGAGTTGTAGGTAGCCAGTTTTGAGTTTGTATATTTGTATAAAATTGAATATTCCTACTAGAAACTCTAGAAAACAATGCATGGTTCATCGACTACTATTGTACTTTGGTCTTTTCTCCACTACTTTGCTATTATTATCTTATGTTTTGTTTGGTAACCACAGTAACACAATTTCCTAGTGGCAGACGAAGCAATTAAATTTCAAGTATAAATTTCTAGAAAAAAATGTATGGTTCATCGCTTTGATTATTTCATATTAGGAAGATCTAAGGAAGTAAAAGTTAAAATGGATTTTCGCTGGTAAGATAATACACAAAGGAAAAACAAAATCTACGGTGCAAGAAAGATGAATGGAGCCTCTACTTAATAGTGCAGACAAATCAACTTATTGTTTTTGTTGTACTAATCAAAGCATGCTGCCTCACACTAACACAATAGCCCTTGGTGTAGAAGTTGCTTGTATGATCAACATTTTCATGGGAAGTGTCTTTATTTGTGGTTGTGATTAGTACCCTACATTACCCTATATCCAAGCTTACACAGTGCAACTTACCTGTTTAGTTGTAAGGAACAGTGACATGTAAGAAGGGGGGGATTCGAATTAGCCTTTCTAAAATCTAATATCCTCTAATTCTACTTTTCAAAACCTATGCAAGGTCTCTATCTAAATGTGCATCTAGGTTTTGCTATGTGTGTTGCTATCTCTACCGCAAAAAGAGTTATGCAACATAGTGTTGACGCTAGATTATGATCTAAGCCACACACCAGCCAGGGTTAGCTCGCCCTAGGTTGCACACAACCTGAAACACGCAGCAAACAACTCCAAGAACGACTAAACCGATCTAGAGAACGGTTAGGCCGATCTAGAGCTCGTCCAACGCCACAAAAAGCCTGGGAACGCCTCCCGGGAGCACCCGTCGGGGAGGAGCACGCCTAGGGTTTGTTCTAGGACCAGCAAGGCCGCCTAGAATGCCGATGAATCTCGCTGAGAGATGCAACGAACAGCAAGAGTGTTGGAAAAGGGTAAAACTAGATAGTAGATGTATTTTTTGACGATTGAGTGTTGGATCCTTCAATCGACCGTGATCCTCTCGTATATATAGAGGGGGGTGGTCTTGTCCCAATAGAAAACATCTCCAGATCGTGATCTCCAAGTTTCCTTTGTGAAAACACGTCCAAAAATCAATTTAGAAAGTGTTTGGTTCGGGACTTGCACAGGCTAATCGGCCTAGCCGGTTTTTGCGGGGCTGCGTAGCCCTACGGCCAGGCAAACTGGCCTAGCCGATTCTAGAACCGGCCTAGCGGTTCTACTACAGCCAAACCGGCCTAGCCGGTTCCAAAACCGGCCTGGCCGGTTCTGCTGTGCGTCCAGGGTAGAATGGCTTCTGAAAATCATAATTAATTCGTCCGGACTTCGAACGGGGCGAACCATATATGTTTTTCGACCAGCTCAATGAGGGGAACGCAATGGTGCAGTCCAATCTTGTATTTGAAGAACTTGCCCAAACCGGCCAGGGCTCTGGCTAGGCTAGCACCCCGAATCGCTATTTCTTCGTCCGGGCTTCAAATGATATGATCCAAATATGTTCTCTGCAACACCTAAAATTTGTTTTTTAAATAGATGTAAATTGAGTTAATTTTGTATTTTTGTGCTAATAAAAACATAGGAAAAATAATAATTTACATTAAATTAAAATTCATCATAAGGAGTAGGAACATGGATGTGCATGCATGCCGGTGCATTTGATTTATTGCAATGAGTGGTTGAATCCAAAATTCAAAATGAATTCAAATCGCTTTTGAAAAGAGTTTGAAAATGGTTTTGAAATAAAAGAAAAGAAAAAAAGAATTGGAAAATAAAAGAGTTTAAAAAGTTGTAAAATTTATTTTTGAAAACCTACCAAGAGTTCTTATCCTATTTTTGAATCGAAGGTATATTTGTATATTTGAAATAATATTTGAAATTCGATTTGGTTTATATTTGAATTTTGTTTTGAAATAAGAAAAGAAATTGGGAAATGGAAAATCATTGTCTTCTTCAATTTAGCCCGAAGGCCTATTTCCCTTCCCCTTCCGGCCTAGCCCGCTGGTCTCCTCTCTCTGGTCTGGCCTGCAGCCACTAGCCCATTCCCCAGCCAGTTGGCCTAGCTGCTGCTCTCCCTCTCTCTCCCGTCGGCCCACCGCACCAGGCCCGCAGCAGCAGCTGCTCTGCCCTCTCCCCACGCGCTCAGCCCGCTCAGCTGCCGGCACCGGTGCCCTCTTCTCCTTCTCTATCCCTGATAGCCCGGGCTCGCTTGTCATCGGCTTCTCCTACCTTGAGTCATCGTCGCGCCGTACTCCAATGCCGCCGAAGGAATCCACCGCGCCCCCCGTCTCTCCACCTTGTCGTGCACTCTACACCTCTCCGCCCCCATAAAAGCTGAGCGCCGTGTCCGCCGCCTCCACCCCAAGCCTCGGAGCAAGCTCCTATCTTGCCGAGTCGCCGTGCCGAGCCGCAACCCTAGCCGCCAATGAGCCACCCGCCCCGCCGAGCACCGCATCGTCTCCGTCCGATCCATGCCTCGGTAACCTGCCTAGTCGAGTTCAGCATCTCCCTCTCTTTCTTTCCATGCTATCCCCAGGTCTAGTCGTGGCCTCTAGGGCCATCCCTATGAACTCCGGCGAGGAGCCAAGCTCCCCGGCGACCCCCGTTCCCCCATTTGATCTGCACCGCCCAATCTAAGATCAACGGCCCAGATTAGAAGATACTCTTTCGGCTAGCGTTTTGCTAAAGACTCCCTGCAGTTTCGCGTAATAGAACCCGCCGTCCCTGCATTTTTTCAAAAGAACCCCTATACTTCTTCTTTATCATGCCCGCCGTCCCTGGCTCAGTTTAAAATTCAATTTTATTTATTTTAAATTCAAAAAATCAAGTTCCATCTATTTATAAAATTGCCACTATCTTCATTAGGTCATATCTTCTCTGTTTTAACTCTGATTTGACCCGTTCAAGTTATGTTAGATTCGTACCGACATAATCTACACATTAGTATCAATGTTTTCCATGTCAAGAGCTCTAGAATTTTATGGTTTAACGCCTAACTTGAATAGTGATTATGCAATTGGATTTTTCTAATTAAGAGTTACTTAGGCTTTTCACCTTGGTCAATTATATGATTAGTTTTACCTTGTTTTTCTAAATCAAGTATAATTTGGGCTTAACTCAATTAAGGTATTTCTTTGAAATATCTTATACATGTTTTTTATAGCTAAAATAAATAGAGCCTATAGTTTCTTTTCGAAGCAAATCTATCGGTAGATGTGTCTTTTTCACTGTAGCTCTGATTAGAGTGCTTTTTCACGTCTGTGTATTCGTAACAACGTGTAGAACATCTTTAAAATCTTTTCACTTGCTATTTATTATGTTTGGTGTACTGTTCTAATTTAGATCTATTATTTGCTTCATGTATGATTGCATGGATGCTTGTGTGGTGCTTTATAATCTTGTCCAGTCAGTGAGCTTTACGTGTTGATCAAGAAGGAGTTCCTTTGAAGTTTTGGACTTGAAGAAGGATCAGAGTTTTAAGGCAAGTATAGCATGGGATCATCCTTGTTGTCCTATACACCTTTAATCATTTAATTCATGCTGCATGTGTCTATCTTGATTACCACTATGGATTTCCTAG